CCTTTCCCCCCCCCCCCTTATTTTCCATTCTAAGCCTGTCCTGTGAGCTGTAATAGGTAAAATACCTGGAAGAGGGAGAACAGCCCTTAATATCAGGTGGATAATGGACACCACTTGCACCTCTCTAATGCATTAATAAGCTCAAGCATTATTTGTTTGCCTAAAGGCTTGCTTAAACTTAACTCTGTTTCCTCCCAGGTCTGCCAGAACCCAGGTCAATTAACTGAAATCAGGGCAAAAACTGCCTAAAAATCTACTTTAAGCTACAAGTGAGGGGAAAAACACTTAAAAGTTTTGGAGCAGCCCAGGGAAAAGTTTTGGTAGTCAGCACTTGGCCTCTGAAATGGCTGACGAGGAGGGATCAGTGGAAGGCGAACGTGATGGCTCAACCTTTTACTTCCCTGCTGCTGTACCTGAGGGGGGAGAAGAAAAAAGCAGGAGAAGCTTTAGGCAGCTGCATGGTCTGTGGGTTTTGGGGGGAGAAAAGAGGCAAATTAAAGGGCAAAGGGAAGGAGGGGCCTGAGTCTGCCCTGGTTTGTGCCATCGGGCTTAGAATGGTGAGTGTGAGTTAATGATACCTGGGGAGCCAGGGGGCACTGGAGTGACCCTCCCTCCTGCTCTAGTGGGGAAAAGCAGCTTTTTATAAAAAAAACCAAAACAAAACAACAGGTTGAGCTCTAGGGGAGAAGGAGACCAGGGCATCCCCGGGGTGGGCAGCACAGGGGGGGTTGCAGGAAATCGGGGGGTTTAAAGCAGCCACAGCTTTAAGGATCATGCCAGATTTTGAACACAAACCTGGCAAAACCCGACCTGCTGCGGGGCATATGCTGGTACAGCTGGGGAGGAAAAAAAGGAAACTATTGGAGGGCTACTTGCTCAAGAGCCTGGTAGCCGCCCGCGCTCCCTTCCCCTCTGCCATGACATCATCCGGCAGAGGCAGCGCCCGGTGCGCTGCGGAGGGAGGCCCTGAGCCAGCCCGGCAGCAAGGCACAGCGAGAGGCAGCGAGTTCATCAGGATCTCGCTGCAGCCCCAGTCCTCCGCCTTCATCCCGGCGCTTCTTTCCAGCAATTTATTCCCCTGAACAAGCGATTCTGTGTCCAGGCTGCCCGTGATTTTTTGTTTTCTTCTGGGACAGGACATCCGCAGGTGCGTCTCTGGCAGCACCGACTCCAGCAGTGGGTGCTGCATGTCATGAGTACATGAAGTGTAGTTTTTGGCACCTGGGGAATGTGAAAAACTTAATGCAAGGAAATATTGTTAGTCAAACACAGCACAATAGCTGTTACACAGTGATGGCTGTTACCCTTTAGCACCCCCAAAGGGTTTGCCCTCCATCTCCTTACCCCCAGCTTGTAACATTTAACTCCTAGGAATAAATCTTTTGAGTTATCTGCAAATGTGTTAACAAGTAGAACGTTAAAAAAAAAAAAAAAAACAACAAAACAAAACTAAAGAACCATAACAATCAACTCTAACCTGCTTTGACTCCACCAACATTTCCTATTTTATTCTGTACTCTGTTTTAATGAAAATGACTATTCATACGAACCAAGTTACCCCCGGTCTCCACTTCAGGAGGTGTCCAAGAACAGCACGTCTCCTTGCAAAGGCTCATTCCACCTCCTGCGTTCAAATCTCCTGGCAGACACGGACTGATGGCAGTCGGGGACCTTTGACACCTCTGAGTGGATCAGTAACGGCCAGGGAGCTTGTCTGTGCTTCACTTCCCCAGCCAAGGAGAGCTCGCCTGCCTGAGCCTCCCCGCCAGTTCAGGAGCCAGGCTTAGAACCAGTCCGGAGCAGAGGAGCTCAACTGTTTGAGAAGAACAAATAAAATCTTAAGAGATTGCCAGAGATAAAGGTACCGCATGGCTGGCTGTGATGTGGTATCAAAGGGCAGCAATTAGTCCCTCCTGACAAGGTTGCAGCACACTGTCTTAACTAGTCAAGGGCAAGTACCTCCCTGCAGGGCAAGGCAGCCGTGCCTGCCAGACCTTTGAAGCACATCCCTTCCCTCCCTGCCACCACTTTGGCTTTTCCCAGGTTGCTTTGAGCCAACTGGCCTTTATTCCGGCTCCTCCAGTGAGCCCAGGAACGCTGCTGGCACAGCACCACCCCTCTGGTCTCCCCGAAGGGGCTGTGCCTCAGTGGGGAGCCCGTGGCAGCAGGAATCTGCCCGCTGCAGCTCCTGGTGTCCTGCCCGCGGGGCCAAGTGGCAGGAAGGTGCTGGCCACTGTGCCACAGACCCCAGCCTTGTGGCAACCGCCCTTGGAAATACGAGGCGTAGAGGGACCCTCCGGGCTCCAGGGCTTTCACGGTTCCTCCCTGTGGAAGGGTGTCCCACTCACTGAGGGAAGGACGGTGTTTCTGTTCTGGGGAAAGGTGGAAATTATTGCATCAATGCAAGAAAAAAAGGACTGAAACACCCCACCTGTGGTTACGGTCATTCTTCTTCAACACAGGGGTGACGTGGTGCAAGGACAGAGCAGTTCCCTGAAAGCACTGTTAGCTGCAAGAAGATTGAAGAAAAAAAAAAAAAAAAAAAAGGAAAAAAAAAAAAAAAA